CAAATCACCTTTCTTCCCCATACTGATGCTCGGTTTGAACTGCAGGAGATTGTCTTGACCATGTCTACATGCCTAAATGCACTGAGTTGCTGCCATGTGATTGGCTGATTAGAAATTAAGTGTTAACGAGCAGTTGGACAGGTGTACCTAATAAAGTGGCCGGTGAGTGTAAGTCTCAACAACTTTAAACTATGACTTAATTATATACAGATCAAAAATCAAAAAAGTGACCCAAAGTGTATTTTATAGTTTTAGTCAAAATGACTCATTTGTTACTAACATTCTTTTACAAAGAACCAAGTTTACACGTTGCTTTCTTTCGTTTCTACGAACATAACTGAGTTTGACTGACATGAAGTTTTATCTGAACATCATCAAGCTGATAAGAAAAGCTTAATTTTTGTCTCGTCACAGGGTTCAGAGTGTTCCTTAAAATGGTTATGAAACAGAAAAAGTGAAGAGCAAAACAGGAAGTATCAGATCTAAACGATTACACTTCTCAGCAGAGAAACTTGATCTGAAACTTAATGAAAGTTCTGTCTTGGAGAGAAAAGTTCAGCAAACACCTGACAGGACCTGAGAGATGTGTCATCCTTCAGTTGATCATTACCACAGTGTTGTGTTCTTACAGCAATGATTTAGAGAAGGAAAACCTTGAAAGACCTTTAGAAAGCCCACAGAAGTTTTGCTTAGGACTTCTTCCAAAGACTACAGGAACGAAATGAAGATGCTGAAGAATTATTCAGAGTGCTGCATGATGTTTCCCCTGCTGTGAGTTCTTGCAAATATCAGTGAATCTACAGRTACAGTTTTTTGATGATGTGCAGGGAGTGGACCAGTACTGCAGTATTCAGTACTGGCTCTTCTAAATGTTTGTCCTTAGCATATCRTCCCTCTTAATTGCACCACTTCTCATAAACCATTTCACCCACTTTGAGCTTCAGTTTAATGTGATTTTATGACAAGAAGAGTTTGAGCTGTCCATTAAACCAGTGTTTCCCAAAGTTGGGGTCGGGACCCAAAGTGGGGTCCCGAAACGTCAAGGTGGGGTCCTGAAAAGATTTTCTGAATTAATTACATTTTTGCCTTAGTTGTCACAAATGAGTGAGGTTAGTATATTTAAAAAGGATAAATGTAGTATAAAAATATTGTTACTATAACCATGCTTTGTTGACCTGATGCAAATGTTTATCATCCAAAAGTAGTTTGGGGTACAGGTCTCTGCTACTGTTATTTTGTGGGTCAAAAGCTGAAAAGTTTGGGAACCACTGCACTTTGGTTCCCAAAGTTGGGCTTGGGACCCAATTATGGGTCATGAAGCACCTTGGATAATCTCCAGAAATCAATTTAAAGGGCAATACAATAATTGCTGATGCAATATATTCCCTATAATTATTACAAAAACACAAAATAAGTAAAAATAAGTATTTTTATTTGTGTATAAGCTGCTTAGATTGTCAAAAACCCTGTGTTTTTAGGTTTATTAACGAAGTTTGTGTACTCAGACCAATAATATTTGGGGTCACAAGTTTTTGCCATGGATATTTTGTGGGACAGAAGACAAAAAGTTTGGGAACCACTGCATTAAACCATTTAGAACAACTTATTATAGTGTTTAACCCATCTGATTTACACATACTGCATAACTGATTGTAGATTTGCTTTAATATCATTAGTTGATATCAGGAGTAATAATGTTTTTGTCTGTGTTTGTGTCTCCTGAACCAGTGGTTGTAGAAAGTAATCACTGGATGGACTTCACTACAGATTAACCTTTGGAGTCAACAAAATTCAAGGTGGCCGCCACAGCAAGTTAACATTAACCAACATAAAAGTGTCTTTAACTTGGTCAGTTTTTCAGATATTGAGCTAAAATTAGCTGAGCTTTATCCCAATATAACTGAAAGTGTTTTTTGTCTTTGTATGTACATGAGAAATAAAAAGGACTGAGTCAGGGTGAGTCAGAGGAGGATAGTCAGGAGCTACTTGAAGAGTGAAA